GGGGTAAGATGCTATTCAGGGCACATCTGAATATCACAGTTGGCCTGAAGTGATCTGTGCTTGCTGTTTGATTAACATTTGATTTCCTTTTATTGCTTCTCTGCACACACAAAGCTAAATTCAGAGCTGCTGAAAGCCAGGGGCAGAGCTGCAGAGTTCAGTAAAACCCATCTGAGGAGTCACAGGGAGCTGGGGGGACACTGCTGTTGGCACCAAGTGGCCAAGTGGCTCCAAGGCATCAGCTCATGGTGCTGGAGAGAGCCTGGCCCCTGAATTCCCTCTGGAACAGGGGTGCAGTGCAGCAGGGTCATCACCCAAGTACCTGATCTTCAGCAGATGGTTGCAGAATTTTCCATCATTCTCCCCAAACAACAAACCAAATATGATTTTTTTTACATCTCTCCCATCAAACCAGCATCTGAATGTCCCCAATACATCTCCATAAAAATCTTCACAGCTGTTCTAGCAAACAGCCTGGAGTGCTGCAGGCTTTTATGAGTATTAACTATGTTAAGCAAAGCAAATCTTACTATTGCACTGTCTGTGGGAGCAGCAAACTTCTCCCATCAGTCTCCCTGAGCGAGGAAAAAGGGTGATTAGTGTCCTGTTATCATCACAGTCGTGGTTTAAGATGCTTTTACCAAGAGCAGGATGACAGCCCTTGCCCAAAGCAGCTTCTTGTTTTGCTGCTGTTATCATAAGTAACCTGATGTGCTTGACATGTCATCAAATATTTCTGAGTAGTGTCGTCCTTTGAATAATAATTAAAACCCCCATACTGCTGTTGTGTGTCATTCTCTGTTTCGGCATGGATTTGGCAGACCTTGGTCTCATCCCGTTCCTCCTCAGCAGCGCTGGGTTGAGGCCCTGAGCTTTTGAAATATTGGGAGGGAAAAAGAATATTAGAGAATTTAAAAGATTCTGTTGAGCTCTGCTGCAGAGAAAAAAAACCAGACTTGATTTCTTGCTGTGGACTCTTGGTTGTGGCTTTAAAGGCTGCAGCACCTCCAAGGCCTGTGGCACAGCCATGCAGATCCCCAGGTGCTGGAGGTTATCTCCACCACTGGCTGCTCTATAAATCCCAAAGGTTCTGGAAAACTCCCTGGTGACTTGTGCCATGGCAAAGAAAATTCTGCTTATGGCTGGAGCATATTTTCACCAAACCTGCAGCAGTGCAGGGTCCCTCTCTGAGTGCCTCTTCCTCATGCCTTCACCATGGGTGCCATGCTTGCTGCATCCCAGTTTGGACAAACAGGATCCAGTTTTCCGGTGTGAAGGTGGGAGAAGTTTAAATGGGAAAATAAAAAATAAAAAAGTGGAGGGGTGGAGGCTGGCTGATAGTGATTGTGCTGTAAAACTGGATTTCAGGCAATGGGGATTGAAGTTGAATTATCACAAATGCAGTGTGGAAATTTTGCCTTCCGTTAGGAATCCATGTCTCTGTAAGGGATGGGGATAGCAGCAGGAGAGGGAGGATGCAATAAAGCTCCATCCAGATCACTGTGCTGAGCAAAAGAAGCCATTTCACTCAGGCAGTGCAGAGGGGGCTATTTTGAGAGAGTGCTGGGAAAGGAAAGGCCCAGAGCAGTGGCAGTGTTGGCCCAAATTAAAAGTAGTAAAGTCTGTCAGGAGAGAGGCAGAACATCCCACAGGAGGGCAGATGGCAGTGGAGCCCCGGGTCACGTTTGCCTCCATTTTGCTAAAAGCCAAGAAGGAAGAAAACAAACCCAATTGCTGTGATTTTCCCCTCAGTTCAGCCTCTGACTACAGCTCGTTCCTTGGGTGTGCCCAGGTGTCCCTGGCCAGCCCAGGGATGCTCGGTGCTGCTCCAGCCAGGCCTGGTTTGGCAGTCCCTGTGATTTATCTGGCAGGGCTGGCATTTCCCCCCTTTGCCTTACCCAGACCCTTTGGGGCAGGGCAGTATCCCAAGGATTTTCTGTGTGACACAGAGATGCTTGCCAGGTCCTTCCAGGCTCAACAGGTGCCGGGGATCAGAGGGGCAGATCATTAGTGTTTAATTACAGAGGGGCAGATCATTAGCATTTAATTACAGATTTGCAGAGTTGTCCCTTGGCCGGGGCAGGGACGTTGTTGTGCTGCTGTCCCCAGAATTAGGGATCCCTTCTCCAGTGGGGACCACAGTGGCGCAGGTGATGTTTTTAGCACATCCCCCTCATCCATCTCCTCTTTTCTTCAGTTTGCTTTCGGCTCCTCCCTGGCCTAGGGCATTAATGAGGGGTATTTACTGATTATTTTATTTCCACGTGGCCCCCTGGGGAAGTTCAGGATGGAGAAGAGACCTGGGGCTGCTGCTGGGAGGAGGAAGGGCAGTCAAGGAAGGGACAGATAAGCAGGATGAAGAAAAAATAAGCTTTTTCCCAGTTTGGCAGCACCACATCAGCCAGTCCCAACACCATCACCCTTGGGTGACCATGATCCCTGCACCACTGGGGTGTCAGAGTCCCATGAGGGAGGTGTTGGGAACCCAGAGTCTGTCTGGGAGGCAAAGCTGACTCACCTGTGAGTGAGCAAACCTGCTGGCTTCCCTCACTGCCAGCCTCCCACCTGTTCCCAGCCTGCAGAATGGGCTGGCAGTGCTGTAAATCCAGAAAAAGCTGTGTCTGGAGACATGTGTGGGTGTGGAGGCAGCACTGGCCTCTCAAATGTGGTGCTTAATAGGCAGGGCAACAAGAGGGAAGATGATCTTTCCCTTCCCTTGCCACTTTAATCACCAGAGGAAGATTTTGTTTATATTACAATGAAAAGGAGTTATTTTGCTCTGGGAGTGCAGAGCAGGCTGTTGTGTGGAGGCTGCTCACCCTGGGCATCCCAGACATCAACAGGCACTCAGAGCATCCCACTAACGTGCCATCCCAGGCACTGATTCCAGCTTCAGATACAGCTAGCTGCACTTATTGGAATTTCCATGGCATTTGAACCCTGGACATTTATCAGCAGCAAATGACCTGACAGTGATGCCCACGCTGGGTCTAACACACCCCCACCCACGAGGCTCCAGGAAACGGGGAATTAAACCAGTGGTGAAGAGCACAGGCAGTGGCACAGCCAGCACAGGCACTCAAAGGCTCTGGAAAAGTCTGACAACTTCAGTGGGTTGCCAGAGATGTTGGAATCACAGCCTTTCCAACCAGGATGGGGTCTTCCAGACAGATGCCAGTTTGGGAAATCTTGAGCTCGTGACCAAAATAGATTTTTTCATGATATCTTTGACCTCATGCCTGCAAGGAAAAACACAGATACCATGTGTGCATTTGCAGAGTTTGGCTGTTCTGTTCATGCTCTTGGCTGGTAGCTCCTGGCTTTAAAGCTCTTTGCAGTTTGTAGTGGCTGAGGGTTGGAGGGGCTCTTTGGAGCTGGTCCAGCTCAAAGCCCAGCTCACAGCAGCCTTAAAACATCCCTACTCACAGGGCTCCTGCAGTGCCTGCAGCTCTGTCACCAGTGCTCTGGCTCAGCAAGTGCAGTGGAATCTCTTTGTTTGGAGTAAAAGCCGGCTCCTTCCTGGAGTCCTGATGGAATTCACATGCTGGCTCAGCCAAGGAGGAGGCAGTGCTGCAGTCTGCCTTCCCAGGGCCTGCCCATGGAGAAGCAGCAGCCCTGGGGAACACCTGGTCACCCCAAATGCTGTGCAGGAGCCATCCAAGGCATCTTTCTCCAGCCTGATGAAGACGGATGTGAAATGTTGCTGTAGAGCTGTGTTTGAAGAGGCCTTTAATGAAGCTGGGAGGGTGTTGAAGCACAAGTAACACTCAGACACCCTGAATTGTCTGGATAAGCCCAGCCCTGCCAGAACTTGTGGTTTGTTCAACAAAGGGTCCTCAGTGAAATCAGGGCACTCATAAATAGTTCTCTGAGACTATAAAACATGGGACCCTGGCACAGGGCTGGCTACAGCTCAGCCTGTAACCCTCATAAGAGACCCTGCTTCCCTTTCCCAGCCTTAAGCCCAAGACTTAAGGAACAACTTGCCCATAATTTCATGTCTGTACATGCTCTCACCTTTGGAATGCACCTCATGCACTGGAGACATAGATTAAAACTGGTGGCCAGTCAAGGAGTGACATTTCAGAGCAGCACTCGAGCCACAAAACACTTTTCAAATGTCTTTATGCTTCTCCAATGCCACCAGTGTGACTGCCTTGAATTTTCTGTGTGTGCTGCTGGCTCTGACATTAATTCCTGGCACTAGGCAGTGCAGCAGTAAGAGGGGAAGAGAAGAGAGCTTGCAGAGGGACAGATGGGAAGGGGATATTTGTGGGGCTTTTATGAGGAGGAGGAAGTGTTTTAAGATCCCTTCCAACCCAACCATTCCATGACTAGGAAATAAGATCTTTGCTGATTTGCTGCTCAGCTTTGATACTGTGGAATAAAGAAGGAAAAAAAATTAAAAAATAAATAAAAAGACCCAAAGAAATAATAAGCAGATTAAAGGAATTACCCTTGAGGAAAAATACACAGATTTTTATCAGAAAGTTATTTGAGAGGTGATGCAATAAATAATTTTTGGTTAATAGCTCCAAGCTGGTGAGGGTCCTTGGGGTTACCTGGTGTGGGAGCATGGCTGCCAATGGCTGTAGGGGATGGATTGGCTCTGGTCCCTGCAGGCTCATCAGGCTGGAGCAGAGAAGGCTGAGCTGTGTCCTCATGGTCTTGTCCATCCTGCAGCCAAAATTTAAGGAGAAAGAAGTACTGAATTAGTGGTCAGCTGAGTAGAAAAAGCTGAGTGCCAATGCCATTTGTTCCTGGGGCTGGGTACAGAAACAGAGAGGAAAGTTTCAAAGCCTTTTATTTTTCCTTTAGTGCCCGAGGGCGACCAAAAAATGAGAGAAGGGATTGCTGTGGGTGCAAGGCTCGGTACCCACATGGCCAGAGCACAGCAAGGGGCTGGCGCTGGATCCTGCCTGTCCCAGGCTTAGAGCAGAGCTGCTGTCCCCAGCCCAAGCATGGAGTGTTTATCCTGTTATCCTCGTGTGTCTCCGCAGGTCCCAACTGCTTTGCGGGCACCACGATAATCCCCGCGGGCATCGAGGTGAAGGTGGACGACTGCAACATTTGCCACTGCCACAACGGGGACTGGTGGAAGCCGGCACAGTGCTCCAAGCGCGAGTGCCAGGGCAAGCAGGCTCTGTAGCAGCGCCCCCGGCCAACAACCCGCTCATGGTGATGGTGATGATGGTGATGATGGTGATGATGGTGATGAAGGAACGGCTTCGACCTCCCGCCGGCTGCAGCAGGGTCAGCAGCAAGCCCTGCGAGGGTGCCACACGAGCAGAGATCGGTACCTGTGGGGAAGGAAGGGTCTCCCCTGCAGCTCCTGTCCCGCTTTACACACTCCCTAGCCGGTGTGCAGGTGTGTGCTGTGCTGTGGGAATCACCAGGGCTCGCTAGGGACGCGCTGCTGGGACTGGGGAGGACAGCAGGAAAACAGCCCTCGCACCTTCCCGGCCCAGCGATGCCTCCGAGGTGCCAATCCATTCACTGCTCTCACTTTCTACAGTGTGGATCATGGGGTTTTTCACATTTATTTATTTGAAGGTTTTTTGCTATTGTGATGATTTTTTTTTAAGTCTCTTCCTAAGCTGGGATCATCGGGACAATACAGCTGTGAGTGGAGCAATAGATGGAGCATTTTTATTGTCTGTAAGCGCAGGTGGCACTAAGGACAGGAGAGAGGCAGAAATTAAAAGGGATTGGGGGGGTGGGGGGTGGTAAAAAAAAACCCAACTGGAATGTAACCTGCAGCAGGACTGAGGTAGATGCACAGGTATAGACCGGACAGCCAAGACACGAAGCTGTATCTGTGTTACACTTTCTCCACTGAGTGGGGACAATAAAGTCGAAGACACCTACGCAGTCACCGTGCCCTTGATGGGAGCGGAGCCCACAGCAGCTGCATGGGCAGCCAACCACAAGGTGCTCCATGAAAACAACATCTTCCCTGGCTTGTCTGGGTGGGATTCCTGGCTGGAGCATCAGTGGGGGAGCAGAGTGAAGAGGATCCCACCTGTTCCTGGTTCCTGGGCTGAGCATGTGCTCACCTGCCTTGTCCCATCCTGAGGCTGCTCTCGCTGGAGCCCAGGGCAGTGTTTCATTGCCTTCAGCGACAGCAGGTCACAATTACCATATGGAGGTACCCCACTCTGGAGGTTTCCAGGAATGTCCCACAGCTGTGGCAGCACTAAACTGGCTCAGCTGGCAGGTAAGACCCTTTGCTACAGTGGGAGGGAGCTGCCCTGGCTCTCCTTGGGAGCATCCACAGAGTCAGGGATAAAGCAGGCCATGGTGCAGCAGGGCTGGGCTGGGCTCCTGGGAAGGTTCCCTGGGGAAAGCAGCTGCTTTCTGTGCCTGCCTGCCAGGAGCAGAGGTCCCCAGCAGCCAGGGGTCCCCGTCGGGCTTTCCAGCACTGGGACCTTCTGCTTTCTCAGGCTGCAGCTTCCAGGCGATTCTGTGAGAGAAAAGTCACCAATGTCATCTCCCTGCCCTGAGGCCTGCCCAGCTGAGCACAGGGGCCTTTCCCATCACTGTCCACGCTTGGTTCCCTTTTTGGTCAGTGCCATGGGGGTGGTGGTGCTCACTTTGTTCAGAGTTCAGACTCCAGTCCAGCACCTGCTCTCGACAGTGACGGCAGCAAATCCTCCCCACAGCATCCTCACCGAAGCAGATCAGCACATCAGGCTCCGTTTATACACACTTTTGCCTTTATACTTTTATTTCTTCCCCGTTTTGGTGTTTTCCTGGAGGGCAGGGGTGGGAGGAGCACTTAGCACAGCAACTGCTGTCCTGTGGCTGAGCACTGGCTCCCTGCAGGCCGAGCTGGTACCATTTGAGACGTTGATGCCACATTTCCTTGTAAGCTGTTGCCTGTCAATGACTATCCAGTTTCAAAACTTTCAAACAATAGTGTGCCTGAAACTAGTGAGAAAAAAAAAAAAATCTGTACAAATGGGAGGGAGGGGTCCTAGAAATAATATTTGATGTGTAAAAGAGTATATTATTAAAAAATTATTTTGTTAAATATAAAAGTGTGTGAACCAGCAAAAAAACCCCAGAATTATATATTTGTGGTGTATTTTACTCTGCTAATCATCAGCCATGAGAACCCCATGGATGGGATGGGTTGCTCAGGAAGTGTCTCAGCAGTAACTCAGGAAACCAGTTTTGCTTTGCCAAACCAGGATTGCAGTTTGTGGAACTGCCATGAACCAACACAGCTCCCAGGCTCTCACTTTAACCCCTGTCTGCTTTTTTATTACTTTCACTGGTGCCATTTTATATTTTATGTCATTTCCAGAACATGGAAATTTGCTTTCAGTTCACAAACTCCATTTGGTACCTCCAGATGCATCATTATTTACACTGATTAGTAGTTACTCTAATTAATTACAGCTTAATTACTGTAGTTAATGTTTGTACAGTGCTTGGAACAAGTACAGCACTATACGTGCCACATATTATTATTTTCTTTGTTATTAATTAAGCACCATCTCCATTCCATGCTGTGCTACTTCATTATTTCCCAAGGAGTCACAGTAGCGCCCTTATTCCCACCCAGGAGTACTTTTCTCCCAGCTGCCAGTGGGATTGGCATGGGAAGAGCAGGGGGATTGCTAAAGAATGTGGGGATGCTCAAGATTTTGCCCTTCACTCTTCCACAGCACTGTGGGGAAAAAAAAAAAAAGGAAAAAAAGGCAGGTGGAGAAGGACCCCTTGACCCCAAGGATTCTGCCCAGGGAGCTGGAGCATGCTCTGGGTCACGTGAGGGAAAGCCCTGCAGATCCCATCAGGGATGTGTCTGCAAGGTCTCTGTAGCTCAGGTTGTAGAAGGGAATCTGATTCCCCCAAACCCAGCAGTGTCACAGTCCCACTGAGGGGTCCCACAGCTCTCCCCAAGCACCAGGGCATCAGTGGGACAAGGTCTGGGACCACAGGGAGAAGTGAAGGGCACCAATCATTTTCTAGGAAAACTTGCACTGTTTGTGTGGCAGAGTTGCCAGTTCCAGGTGGGCAGTGTCTCCACAGCACTGGGCAGGCCAGGGTGGATCCAGAAATGAAATCCCATCAGGCATTCTCCTGTGTACAGAGGAGAGTACACTACAGAATTCCATCCTCATCCCAATATCCTTACTTTTTTTTTTCTTAATGTTGTAGTTCATTTTTTTCTTTAATTAATCACAGCTCTGGGCCAGCCAGACCCATTAACTACTCTTCTCATTTAGACCTTTCAGAGATGCAGTTGCAGATGCAATTTAATTTGTTGACCCGTGATCGATAGCAATTAATACCATCCCTTTAATCTTGTTGAAAGGTTCATCTTAGGCTTCCAGAGGCTGCCAGCTGAAGGGAAAGGTGCCTGGTACATATGTTATCAGATGGGGGAGCACAACCTCCTCTGTGGGCACTGTCCTCCCCGTGCCCCCAGGCTGGCACTCTTGAAAATACAACAGGTATTTGTGGGAGATGGAGAAGAGAAGGTGGATAAAAGCGAAGGGAAGATGCTGAGGGGTAAAGAAGAGCAGGAGGCTTGGTAGGGCAGAGAGTAGGGGAAGGTAGAGTTGATGGGTTGGAAAAATGAGGGGAGATAGAAAGAGTACAGCCTAGCAGATGTGGCTGGAAAAGGGAGCCAGAATGACTTGAACTGGAGCAAAAGAGCAGGTCAGAGAGTGGACAGCTCAGAGGCAACACCTTCAGCAGGAGCAACAGTGAAGCTTGCAGAAAAAACAGACCCAGAGTCAGGAAAAGTCCTTCCTCTTAGCGTTCTTACACCCAAACCTCACTGCTGTGATGCCATCTTTTGGCCCCCAAATGCAGCAGCTGTGTACAGCTCCCTCCTCCTCCTCCTCCTCCTAGCAGTGGGAAAGCCCATCCCAGGAGCATCACCTCGCCCTGTCCTCATTAATATGCCATTAGTCAAAATTGTTCTATAATTACAGGATTACTTCCTGCACACCCCAGGGGGAATGACTCAGCTCCAAAGCACAGCAGGGCAATGTCTTTCTCCCCCAGGAAGCTGCAAAGCACACTCCAAACTAGGCTAAGCCTGGGAAAATCCCAAACTTTGGGTACTCTCCATCCTACCAGTGCTCCTGAGGCAGCAGCATGCAGTGGCTTCAGTGGCACACAGTGACACGAGTGCCCTGGTGACCATCCCCAGCCATCTGTCCTGCCTGCCAGATCCACTGCAGCAACCCCTGTCCAGCCACAGCTCTGCCAGAGGTAAAAGCAAAGAGCAAATCCCAGGATTCCAGCACAGCAAGAGCAATAAAGTGTTTCTCTTTGGTGGTTGTTAAAGGGGAAAGAGGGCCCATGTGGATACAGGGCAAATGAATGCCCTTTACATAGCAAAAGGACATGGGTTTGCAACAGCAAGTCAATAGAAAAAATGAAAAATTTATCAAAAATCCACCTTCCTTGTGGTGTGGAAGCTTAGCTTTTAAAACACAGGGGATAGAAGGCATGGAGAGGAATTGCCTGTATTTATATATTTAGGATCATAGAATGGTTTGAGTTGGAACCTTTCAAGGGCCATCTAATATACTATATGGATTTATTTGTACTTGCAGGTAGTCTATCTTTTTTTATTTTTTTCTTAAAGTATTTTTTTACCATGATTAAGTCCAGTACCTAAAAGAGCTCTGCTCTGAGAAGATGCCAGGTCATGCCCCCAGTCAGCCACAAAGGGTAATTATGCACTAGGAAATTGGAAAGAAAGACAAAACCCAACCCAAAAGCCAAGCAAGGCTCCTTTGGGATGGCACAGAACGAGATGGTGTCACTGACTGGTCTCATCCGTGGGGGCAGGTGATGGTTGCACCCATCTGCAGACATGGCCTCATCTTTTGGGCAGGCAGCTGGGTCTTAGCCATGGGTGCTCAGGAGACAGACAAAGCCTCTCTTTTCTCAGGAGTTCATGTCCTCTGACTATGCTGGCTCCCCTGGAGCCACTATTTCACAGACTCATGGTGTGGGCTGGAAGGGATCTTAGAAATCATCCTATTCCACCCCCTGCCATGGGCAGGGACACCTTCCACCGTCCCAGGCTGCTCCAAGCCCCCATGTCCAAGCTGGCCTTGGACACTTCCAGGGATGCAGGGGCAGCCACAGTTTCTCTGGGCACCCTGTGCCAGGGCCTGCCCACCCTCACAGGGAAGAGATATCTGCATTTAATTAATTAATTATTTCAATTAGTTATCTGCATCCCTGTGAGCTGGTATTTTCTTGGCACTGGGCTTCCCACAAAAGAAGGCAAGGGTGTGGGTATGGCAGCACTAAGTGACGCTCTCAGGACACCCTTCCCAACACAGCCTTCCCAATCCTCAGCTCGTGGGGCAGCCCTGGAGCTGTGCCCTGTGCCTGACCCTTTCTGCCCATCACACCATGCTGCTGGCCCAACCAGCAGGTGAGAGGAGCCTTTCTGATGCTGCCATCAGATACAGGAGATGGTGATCTGGGGAAAGGACAGGGAGAGAGGCTCAGCAAGTGTGAGCTATTAGACTTGTTTCAGGGGGACAAAGCAGGATTTCAGTAATAATTAATGCCACTATTAAAGATCCTCATTTAGACTGTAAGGCATCTGGCACTGGGAAGGACACAATGAAGGTACTTTTGGTCATTAAACACACACAATGTTCCATGCTGCTGTTGTCTTGACAGTGATAACCCATGAAAGCTTGAAGAGAAACCACCAGCCCGTTCTCCCTCCCAGTTTGCATAGGGATTATCCTGTTACCCCTATGGATTGTCTCTTCAGGTATTCCAGCACTGCCTTGGCTCTGTGTTTGGAGAAACAGCCAAAATCCAAGTCTGGGGAGTCTGGGAAAAAAAGTCTTGTGAATCTGGAAGGCAAAACTCCAAGGAAGCAGGTGAAAAAGGGGGCTCACCAGGCTAAATTGTCCTTCCAAATGATGTGTGATGATCACAGACTCACAGAATAATCTGGGTTGGAAGGGACCTTTAAAGTCCATCTAATCCAACCCCCTGCAATGAGCAGGGACACTTCCCATTAGACCAAGCTGCTCAAAGCTCCATCCAACCTGGCCTTGAATGTTTCCAGGGCTGAGGCATCCTCCACCTCTCTGGGCAACCCCTGCCAGGGCCTCACCACCCTCACTGCAAAAACCATTTTCCTTATACCCAGTATAAACTGACCCTCCTTCAGTGTGAAACCATCACCCCTTGTGCAACAGGGTGAGATGATGAGTGGACACTGCAGACAGGAGCATCCCACCAGCAGCAGGCTCTGTCTTTTGCAGCCTCAGGGCCTACCCTGGAGGACTTTGGGAAAAGCTGCAATAAAGCCAGGGTGAGGAGTTCAGCTGAGGTGCTGAGAAATGTGGCCTGGAGTGTTTGTACCATCCCCAACAGTACCACCAAGATCTTGGCTAATAAACCAAGTTTAATAAAATCAGTTTGGTTTCAGAGAGAGGGAGCAGTGATTGCTGCTCTTTTCATTACTTACCTGACTTGGTGGATGCACCCTCTGCCTTGCCCAAACACTTTCCTGGACTTCTAGGGCCCAACTCTCTTCCTATAATCTGGCTGTGTTTGTCTTTTCTCTTTTTTTCTTTTTTTTTTTCATAAGGACAAAAGCTTTGGGAAAGGGAAGAGATAAAAATGTGAGGAACTTGCTCTCCTGCAAATGATCCACTCCCATACACGCTGAAAGGCTCATTTTGCAGTCCATTAAGCTCAAGTTAATGCAGGTAGAGCATGTCTGGCATTGAGAGGATGGTAAAGGTTTCGGGGTTTAATTTTACTCAGATGGAAAATCCTATACATTCCTGGCTGCTGTTGGCACTTCTGCAGCACAGCAAACAGGCCCCGCAGGAAGCATGAGGCCAAGGTTAAAGCACTTCTAAGTCAAGATACTGTGATACCCAAAGAAGCAATTTCCCATTGTATTGCGAATCTTCTCGCACTTTATTGGCATGAATTGAAGCCACGAGCCAAAGGGGTGTGTGGGGACCCATTGGAGCTGCAGATGGCTTTAAATTCCCCCTAACTTTCCCTGGATTCAAGGTTATCC